ACCAATAAAAATTAAAAAAAAAAAAAAAAAAAGAACTTACACAGGGTTACATTTTAGGAGCTGGCAGTATCAGGATTTGGGCTCTGGTAGTAACATTATTAAGCATCATTTTGATTGGTTGAACAATCACCTTATAAGCATACCTCACCATCCCATTGTTTTAAATACTAAGGATGAATAGTGCTTTGTAAACATTACTTTCTAAGAAAAAACTGATAGGCAGTGCACTAAATATGGCCAGAAGTTTCCCAAGTGGTTCTAGAAATGTAGAAAATGTCTTTATTTCCAAATTACAAAGGATAGTACCAAGGTCACAAAGCTATCTCCCTCCTATTTCAAGTTGATAATCATGACTTTCTACTTTCTAACCATTCAGAGAGAAAAGTGGACTGTTGCATAATTGCTTAGAATAGTTTATAACTCTGAAGGAGGATGGGAAAGGAGAAAGTGATGTCTGGCTCAGAGGGCACCTCTAACCCCTTGCTCTAGGCAACCCTGTCCAAATCTGAGTCAAATGGGAGCCAGGATGGTAGTCAAAAGATATCTGGGAGTGGAGATTGGTGGGAAGCTCCAGGTGTCCCTAAGTTCTGGTGGTACATAGCTCAAACAGGCTGTCCTAGAAGTTGAGTTTCTTGGTCTCCTTCCTCTGACTACCAGATCAGGGTGGCTTTTGGAGGGGAGAGCAGTCAGCAATCAGGTATGGAATATCTCCCTGTACCTGTAGCACAGGGAYCATAGATACTCTGGGGCGGGCTTCTGGGAACCCAGAGCAGGAGGAGTAGGGGTGGACTCAGGGTACCAGAAGAGCCTGAGGGTTTAGAAGCCACATCTTGCTCAAGGAAGCTAAGCCATGTCCTGCCTCTGCCTGGGCAAGTCGGTGTTAATAAGGGTCCAGTGCTGGGAGACTTTAAAGAGCAGCAGTGGAGTGCAGGGTTAAGTCCTGGAATCCTCATTAATAGCTGTGAGATCTTGGGTAAGACACCCAACCTCTCACCTACCTCAGTTTCCTCATTTGTAAAACGAGGGTTAATTGTAGTCATCCCTCAGTGTCCATGGGAGATTGGTTTTAGGATCCCCAAGATTATCAAATTCTGAAGATGTTCATCTCTTTTACAAAATGGCTCAGTAAAAAAAAAAAATAAATAAAGGGGAAAATAGCATATTATTTGCACATAACCTACATTCCTCCTGTTGTATACTTTAAATCATCTCCAGAGTACTTACAAGTCCTAATACAATGTAAATGTTATGTAAATTGTTGTTATACTATAGGGAAGGATCTGTACATTTTCTGTATGAACCCAGTATTGTGTTTTTCCCCAAGTAATTTTGGACTACAGTTGAATCCATGGATTTGTAATTAGTAGGCTATTGCTTACCTCTCCATTTTACATAAGTGGACAAGACTTTCTTCTGAGCCTGTGTTATCTAATGTTAGATAGGTGGCTGGCTTGTCTGTGATATAGGTGCCATCACCAAGTATTGAGTTGTTTGTGCCAAACCCTGCAAGTGGTTAATTTATATTCCTGTTTAATCTAATGAAACAGGCACCACCATTCCCTGCATTTTGCAGGCAACATTTGAAGATTAGGGAGTAAACAGCTTTCCCCAACAGGGGCTGCAGCTGTAGCTCAGTGGCAGAGTGCTTGCTTAGCACATGGGAGGCACTGGGTTCGATCCTCAGCACCACTTAAAAATAAGGCATGCTGTCCATCTGCATCTGCAAAAAACAAAACAAAATAAACCCCACAAACTAGCCATGTCTGCCTCAAAGGCCTCATCCTCTTCACATTTCAGTTGTTGAACTTACCTGGTCCGAATAATTGGGACAGTATTGGAATCCAGATGCCGCTTTAGCAAAATGTTGTGAATGTGAACATAAGTTTGGCTTGTTAACAATCATCTAGTTCTCTAAAAGCTGACAACATGCTTGAAAGCAAGAAAAAGGGTCAGTACTAGCCTCAGGGTTCATTATGGTAAAGGGCCCGGGAGAAAGTTTGGGGAGAGGCCAAACATTTGGTTCAATACCTAGCTTCATGTATTGGTCAATACCTATTCAAGCTGGCTTTACCTACCTAAGCCTGATCCACTTAAGACCCTCTGAAATGGATATTAGTATCCCTATTTTAAAAACAGTTGAAATAGTCTCTAAAAGCTCATGTGACTTATTAAACATCAATATAAGTTTAGATTCAAAAATTTAGTTTTCCCTCCTGTCCTGGTTAACTGTTTGGGAACCATTTGTGAGATATCTTCCTTCCCAAATCAGGATCTCACAGAACCCAGAAGAGCCTCAGACTAAAGTGGTTAAATAAGAGGGTTGTGGTGGGGAGATCCCAACTGGGAWTGTGAGAAGCAGGTTGTCAGAGGCATAAACGCCAGGGGAGGTGGGGGTAAGGCTGTCAGGTACACTGCTGCTGGGAGYCACTCTTCCCCAGGACCTGCAGGTTTTGCTCTCCTGGCCATGCTGGATCCTGCCCTCAGCACACAGGCTTCCCTGTGCTGGGTGGCTCTTCTTGGGCAGGTGGGGACCAACTGCTTTCTGTGGAGCAAAGTGGGAGTTGCCAGTCTTGCCTAGGTCCACCCTATTTCYCCACTTGGGCTTCTACCTGGGGTCCCCTAGACTATGTAGGGAAAGGGGAGGAGCAGAAAGKGTTTGGGATTTCTGTTTGGGTGCATGGTGCCCTGACTGCCCACTGATGGCAGCTCAATCCTAAAATTCATTCAGAGGTTGATGGATCAGGAGCCTGGGAAGGAAAATTGAGTAAAGGTTATTTTCCAAGGTTGATGGGATTGATGGTGGGCTCAGGGAACAGAAGTGCAGACTACTGATGGAATGGGCTGGAGTAAAGCTGAGCCAGAAGAGGTTGCCCGGGAAGTTGCAGGGGTAKGGTGGGGTGGGGTATGCCCTGTAAGGGGGTGCTATGCTTAGATCTCATTGGGAGGTAGGAAGCCTGCAACTCAGGCTGAGCCGTTCAGGCTGGGCCACGGGTCCCAGATTCCAGATCCACGGAGACCCAGTGGCCCAGCTGAGCACTTGTTGAGAGGAGGGGCGGTAGCAAGGGGGTTAAGGGGGGAGCCCTCCCATAGGTCACTCTTTTCCAAAGGGAACTGCCCTGTCTTCTCCCGGCAGGGTTCCGCGCCTCTTGACGGCTGCGGTCCTCTCTGGGAGGCACCCTCCCTGCATAGTGTGCCTCCTGGGAATATGGAAGATTATAGCTTTTGGAGAAAAAAAAAACTCCCTGGGCTTCCCTTTCCCCAACTGCGTTCCAGATCCTTTGGCTCCTATCAACAGAGGGCGACGCCCACCAGATGGATTCAACGTGGCTTGGATTCAAGGACGGACTTGCCATGTCACTGGAGCAGCAGAGATGTGGTGCCAACTCCCTGTCTACCTGGTGTTTTCTGTTGTGACCCAGGTGGGCCATATATGGAGGTCCAGCCTTTCTTGACGCKAATGCACTGATAATCAGGGTGGTTATGGACTAGATGCTGGAACTGCTTCACTGCCCGGTGACTTCCAGGCCTTCTTTCTGCACCTTCCCACYCGTTTGGGAAAATGGAATGGGAGCAGCCTTCTGCCACTTCCTAGCTGAGTGAGTCGGAGCAAGTCCCTTTTTCTGTCTGGGCGCCAAGGTTTCCTCCAGCTTGCAGAGCCATTGTGAGGCACCTTGGGCCCAGGAAGCCCACGGCAAATGTCCTGCTCTGACTTCATAGAGAAGAGTGCTGCGCTCAGGAGACCCACTCGCAGAGGGGAGGGGGAGGGGAGGGGTGCAACCCCAGCTCTAGACTGACCTTAGGAACTTGGGGCTGGGCTTTGGGGATCCGGAAGTCGTGACACACACTCCCTTGGCCACCTTCAACAAGGGCCTTTTTTCCTCCAKCCTCCCAACCTCGCATGAACTGGCGGAGCCAGCGGCAGCATTTTTCGGTGCCATGTGGAAGATTTTATTTGTAGACTCGAAAATTTGCCCGCCCAACCCTCCCGTCCAGCTGATTGCGCCATCTCCGCCCTTTCCTCACACATCAGGCTCCCATCGGGTCACTCCACCTGCGTGCACAGAGACCTCAGTGTTAGGTGCTAAGATCGCCCCTAGAGGGCGCTGTTGCTTGGTAAGAGGGCACAGGGACAAGTTGGAGATGCTGGTTTGGCTGAAGGGGAAGCCTTCCTTTAGCTGGACCGCCATAGCTAATGGTCCCCTTCTTTCAATGGGGCCTCATTGATTCCTTGGAGGGATTGAAGTAATGTGTTCTTCCTATTTTCTTTTTATTTCCTTTTACTTTCTTCTCTTTTTTCTTAGTATTATTTTGCTAAGGAACTTAGAGTAAATTTCATTTGAAGCATGAAAAAAATCAAACAAATGGAGGGTTGATTTGGTAGGATTGGGGATGGGAYRCAGCAAAGCCCAATCTGGCCATGTTCCTCCATAAACTGGTTCATTTAAACCTCTATGAGACTGAGAGCCACAGCAATTCTAGGCCATCCCGAGGCCTCCTGGCAACAAGATGACCCACCTTGGAGCCTACACTTTCAGTGTCTTTCTTTCCCCAGAGCCCCTGGTTGCATTCTGAGAAACYTAAGGCCTGCCATTATCCTGATGTTTGGCTTGGTCAATGGCTTCCCCCTCTCTGGCAATAGAGACARAGCCCCCAGCCCTGCCAGTCACTGTCCTTAAGACTTGGGATCCCAACTGGGCATGGTGGCACATGCCTGTAGGCCCAGCACTTGGGAGGCTGAGGCAGGAGGAATGCTTGAGCCCATTGAGTTTGAGACCAGCCTGAGCAACAGTGAGACCCCATCGCAAAAAAAAAAAAAATTAAGATTGAGGCTGGGCCCAGTGCTGCATGCCTGTAATCCCAGCAATTTAGACTAAGGGAGGAGATCACAAGTTTCAGTCCAGCCTGGGCAACTTAACTCCATCTCAAATAAAAATAAAGGGCTGGGGATGTAGCTCTGTGTTAGAGCACCCCGGATTTAATCCCCAGTACCACACCAAAAATTTAAAAACCTTAGGATCCTGAGCCTACTGACTCTAGGACTCTGCRTCTGGCTCAGGGTGTGCACCTCCCTGTCACACCCACCTTGTATGAATGGTACATAGGCACCTCAAGTGATGCAGAGCAAAAGCGGGTACAGCAGCGCTTGACCCAGCGCAGGCTAGAGGGTCTGCACATGACGCGGGGCCCTGGGAGRTGGATTCGTCTGGGCAGCCCCTCAAACCAGATATTCTGGCCACCTGTATCCAACTGCTTCATGTCCCCCATAGGACTTCTGTGGTAGTGGGTTTTCAGGAAGATGACTCTGCGGCTCCCAGTAGATAGTTGCTTCCCCCGTGTTCCAGTGTTCAAGCCTTGACTCCTCGATGTCCTTGGGACCTCAGGCTCCACCTGATCTAGTGGCACTGTTAMAGTTGGCTCCTTTTCCTTGTTCCTTTTCTCTGATGCTATCTCGGGCTTCCAGTCTTCGGCCCTTGTCTCCTTAGATTCCTCCGTAGACTCTTCTTTCTTATTCTCCAGTGTCTTCTCAAGGAATCTAGCTTCCTGGAGTTTTTCGTTATTCTTTTTCACTTCATTGCAGACACTGTCTCTGGCAGAGAGAGAAAAGGCTGTCAGCAGAGCAGGACAGGCTCTGGTTTCCTGGCCCTGTCCTGAGGAGGTTGCTATGCAGCCAACTCAGGGGATCCTGTTGAGAAAGAAAGCTAGAGAGGGGCTGAAAAGGAACTTGTCCATCACCCAAAGGCCTGTGCCTAATGACAGGGCGTGGTTATGTATTGGCAGAGGGATGGGAGAGCCTGGGAAGGCAGAAGGCACAACAAGTAGTTACAAYATCTAGGAATACATGATGTGCGTCGACCACCAGGTTAGGATCCTGCCTCTGGATTTCAGTTGAGAGGGTGAACAGTCCAGAGGGTGTTTTTTGTTGTTGTTATTGTTGTTTTTTTGTTTTCAGATCATGTCTCAAGAAACATTAGGGTTCTGAGGAGKTGTTTCCAAGGCCCTCACTGCCCCAGGGTGAGGACAGGATGAGGGCAAGATRTTCCCTAACAAAAATATAGTTCGGGCTGGGGATTGATATTGGAGAGGTTCCACTGCTTTAAAAAAAGTTGGGAAGCAGGCATGGTGGCACATGCCTRTAATTCTAGCTACTGAGGAGGCTGAGGCAGGGAATTGAAAATTCAAGGCCAGCCTCAGCAACTTAGGGAGGCCCCAAACAATTTAGCGAGACCCTGTCTCAAAATAAAAAAAKAAAAAGGAGTGGGGCTCAGGGGTAGGGCACTTGCCTGGCACCTGTGAGGCATTGGGCTCAGCACCACATAAAAATAATAAAATAAAAGCATTGTGTCCATCTACAACTAAAAAAAAAAATTTTTAAAAGGAACTGGAGGTTCAATCCCTAGTACCAAAATAATAATAATTAACAATAATAATAATAATAATACCAAAATAATAAATAAAGAAAGTTGAGAAACTGTGATGCTTCTGATTCTGTACTTCCTGGTTGCCTGCATCTAGGAGGCCAAATCAGAGGACCCCAGAGGAGGATTTAATCCCCAGGGTGTCTAATAGACTGGACCCCTGTAAAGCCCTATCATAGCCCATTGTAACCACGTGGAGAGGCAGGCTCGAGATAGCAGCAATACTGGTGATGTAATGGATGCTGTTAATTGGAGGCCCACTGTCAGGCCCAGRATCCTCATGAGACTTCTGCTAAGTATGAGGCAGTGAAGTAGCAGAGTAGCTTGTAGAGCAGAGGCTTTGGAGTCAGACAAATGAGGGTTCAGAATCTGCTCCTTCCTCTTACAACTATGGAACTAGGGTGAGAAATTTAACCTCGGCTTTATTTGTAAAGCTGAGATAATTCTGTGTACCTATTAGGATTCTTGGGAAGAATAAACTAAATGGGCAAATACTTGTGTAGTGCTTAGCACAGTAGCTGGTGTTAGGTACTTAGCAGGCACCTAATGTTAGCTTTCTTAATATTCTGATGTGACTTATGAGGAAACTGAGCCTCACCAAGATATACTAATCCTCAGACTTCTGGGGCCAGTCTGCAGGTGAATCTCTGGGCTGGGTTAATGGGAGGGAGAGGAAGAGTGACCCCACCCACTCAGTGCTGCAGGTGGTGCTTAGGTTCATAATTGGATGACTACAGCAGTGTTAGGGCCATAGCTTCAATATCAGATAGGAATGACTTCAAATCCTAGCTCTTCCACTCTTCAGTTCAGCTAAGTGAGCTAAGTCACTTCATCTCGAGTCTCAGTCCCCATCAGTAGTAAAACAGGTATAATAAATTCCTGTCTTAGGGAGCCTTTGAGAAAAATAGACCTATTCTCTATTTTCTTTAAATAGACCTATTCTCTATTTTCTTTAAATAGACCTATTCTCTATTTTCTTTAGCACACTCCTGTTCCAAGTAACGACAGCTATTGGGTCCACGGTGAGGGTAACGTGGGCTCACCCAGAGGAAATACGGAGCATCTTCGGAACTCTGAGCACTGAATTCCAACACCGTCTTGCTAGGCTATGCAGTTCTTGGATCCTGCGGTTGGAGCTCTTGAGTAGCTTCAAGAGTGACAAATTTCTTAATACCTGTTGGGGGCAAGAAACCAGAGAAACAGAAGCTTCAGCTCTCCTGGGATAGCCTTCCCGTGCCCCGCCTCTGGGTCATTCTCAGCTCAGGACTGGGTCTGCTGACTCCTCTGGGGCATGTGGCCTGGCAAGCAGGAGCAGCTCTGCACCTGGAATCAGGCTCCCTTAAACTGGGGTCAAAATGAGCTCTCACCATTTTAAGTCGGTTCCGCTCAATTGTTTTGCAGACAGGCTGACTTATCTTGTCTTGTAGTTTCTCATCTTGCATCTGAGGGAGGGGGAGAGAGAGAGAGAGAGTCAGCTAGTGCAGGAGGAGTCCCCCCRAATGCCTCCATTATGCCTCTCCATTTGACCAAATGTGGTTTGATCAGCCCCAGTCTGGCAGTTTTGTCACCCTGGTTTTGGGAGCAGAACTGGGGAGACCATTTTAACTCTCTAGATCTCCCTTCATCCTTCACCTTCCCTTCTCCCTAGGCTGGAAGGCCCCTGTCCTTGGTATGCCTGGACTCTGTTAAGGCCCCTTCTAGGGGCTAACTCCAGGGTCCAGTCCGAAGTCTGACCTTGGAAACCACTTTGTTCTTGGGCCCCTTTGCTGATGGACTCATGCTGGCGCTGTGAGGCCTCAAAGACTGAAGGAGCAAGACTGGTGCCAGGCACTGTCTGTGCCCTGCCCCTCGCAGTTCAGACAGCACTCAAGCCAGCATCAGATAGTGGTGCTGGAGCTCCCAGGCAGGGGAGCTGTGACATCACTGAATGTGACAGCAACAGGGCTGGGTCTCCAGGGAGTTTGTGTGGAGGGCAGGAGTAGAGGGTGGAGGATGAGAAGGAAACTCCCATCTGTGGAGAAACACACACAGTAGGGGACAGGCAGCTGCATACGTGATCATAACCTCCCTGCGAGGTAAGAGGATTATCCCCTCTTTTTACATGAGGAGGCCAGGGTTCAAAAAGCTTCAAAATGGCTCAAAAATGTACAGCTCAATGATGGTGGAGCTGGAAACCTGACCAAGGTCTCACAGCTCAGGAAACCTGGCTTCTCAAATCATGCTCATCTATTCTATTGTGTCACTTGTGTTGACGGCACTTGCTACATGCCAGGTGCTTTTTTAAGTTCTGGAATAAAAGAAATTCATACTCTCAARGAGTATACTTTCTAGTGGAGGAAAAACAAAACAATGTGTATGAGCATAATGTTTCATTATTTACCATTGAAACAAAATATATGTGGTTGTGTGTTTATTATACATTTTGGATTTTATTTTTGGTACYAGGGACTGACCCCAGGGGCACTTAACCACTGAGCCACATCCCCCAGCCCTTTTTATTTTTTATTTTAAGACAAGGTCTTCCTAAATTGCTCAGGGTCTTGCTAATGCTGAGGCGGGCTTTGAACTTGGGATCCTCTTTCTTCAGCCTCCAGGGTCACTGAGATTAAGGAATATGCCAACATACCTGGCTTAGATCATAGTCTTTTAATATTGAGGTTTATTTTCTCAGATTTTTTTTTCTAGGTACAATGGAATAGTTTTTCTTTCTTTCTTTCTTTCTTTTTTTTTTTTTTTTGGTTTAATTTATATTATTAACATTTTCTCTATTTCTTTTTCTTTTTTGGTACTGAGGTTTGAACCCAGGGACACTTTACCACTGATCCTCAACCCAGCCCTTTTAGTTTTCTTTTTATTTTGAGATAGGATCTAGATAAGTTGCTTAGGGCCTTCCTAAATTGCTGAGGCTGGCCTTGGAATTGCAATCCTCCTATCTTAGCCTCCCAAGTTCCTAGAATTATAGGCCTGCACCACCATGCCTGATTTCTCCATTACTTTTTAATTTTTTTATTTATTTTTCTTTTTTTTTTTTTTATTTTTATTTTTTGGTGCTAGGGATTGAACCCACGGGCACTTAACTACTGAGCCACATCCACAGCTCTTTTTATTTTCTATTTTGAGACAGGGTCTTACTAAGTTGCTTAGGGCCTTCCTAAATTGCTGAGGCTGCCTTTGAACTTGTGATTCTCCAGTCTCAGCCTCCCAAGTTCCTATCATAGGCCTGGGCACCACGCCCAGCTTCTCCATTACTTTCTTAAGGCTAGACCTCAGTCAATAATATTTTCTTCTGTAAATATGTTAGGATATGGGGGCCACAGAGTTATGGCCCCAAACTCAACTGCTCAATTCTGTTGTTACAGAGCAAAAGCAGCCATATGTAATAAGTAAGTGAATGGGCATGTCAGTATTGTAATAAAACTTTATTTGCAAGAACAGTCATGGATTTGATCCATGTCAATCCTAGTCCAGTCAACAACAATAAATTAAAAGCCAATTTGTCATGCTTACCTATTTCTGTGATATCAATACTCCTATCACATTTGATTTAAAGTTACCAGTTGAGGGACTAGGGTGTACCTCAGTGGTAGAGTGTTTGCCTAGCATACACAAGGCCATGGGTTTGATCCCCAGTGCCACAATGACAAAAACAAACAACACAAACAAAAAACAAAGTTTGCTAAAAAAAWTTTTAAATAAAACTAAAAGGGCTGGGTTGAGGATCAGTGGTAAAATGCCCTTGGATTCAAACCCCAGTACCAAAAAAGAAAAAGGAAAGTAATAAAGAAAAATGTTAATAATGTAAATTAAACAAAAAGCTATTCCATTGTACATAGAAAAAATATCTGAGAAAATTTACTATCACTATTTATTATATCACTAAACTCAGAATAGGGCCAAAATGCCCAGTAGCATGCCATTTGATGCTCTATGTTTCTACTGTATATAAATAAGGTCCAGAAGAT